CCAGATGCCTTCCACATGACCCTCTCATAACTTTATCTACTCCTGTCCTGATCTATGTTACTCATTTCTGTAATTTCTTCCCAGGGCAGTATAGAGACAGGAAAAAAGAAAGAAATCTCTATGGAGCCAGAAGGAGAAAGAGGATGAAGAGGAGGGAGGAAGGAGGAGGGAGGAAGGAGGAGGAAGAGAAAGAAGAAAAAAAGAAAGAGAGAAAGAGGGAGAGAGAGAGAAAAGGGCACAAAGAAAAAACAGAGTAATCAATTAACTAATTGTATGCGCTTTGGACAAATGTCTGCTCAGAGGGGTACATTCTTGAACAAGAGCTCTTGTGGCTGCTTTGGAGGGAGTTGCCTCTTTGTGGAGTCAACTCTGCCCAAACTGGGAGTTTTTCCGACAGAAACTGCTTACACCAACTCCTTTAACCCTTCCAACGATTTTATACACACTCAGGTTTCCACCTTTAGCTTTTTCCTACTTGAAATATATACAGTGATTTATTTTTGCATTGAGCTCTGACAGAGCTGACAAAAATATTCACTTTGTCATTGGTATTTTGGTGCTGTGCTCTGGATGTTTGAGATTGCTGGGCAAGTTTCCTCTTGTTACTATTAATTGGGCATATACATATTTCTGCCATAATGAGTTACTGCAAACTTAGCTTAAGCAACACAGATTTATTATCCCAGTTCTGTAGGTCAGAGGGCCAATGCAGGTCTTGCCGGGCTAAAATCAAGGTGCTGACAGGGCTGTTTCTGTCTGGTTGCACTACAGGAAGATCCATATCTGTGATCACCTGTGTTTAACAGAATTCAGTTCCTTGAAATTGTAAGACTGAGATCCCTGTTTTCTAGATAGTTGTCAGCTGAGTTGTCACTAGAAGTCCCAGATTCCTGTACCCAATTACATTTTTTTCTCTTCCCTTTCATCATATTTGAGATTGAACCCAGGACCTTGAACATGCTAGGCAAGCACTCTATGCTGAGCTACATCTCCAGCCCTTTCTAAAGTCCTCTCTGCCATGTGAGGTATGCCATCACAAGTTCTGGGATTAAAGTAAGGTTATTTTAGCAAGTGGGCAAGGAGCATTATCTGCCTACCTAATCTTCACATTTAAAAATTCCCACTCAGAAGTCATTTGACATCAAAACTTTAATGTCAGTTTACTGTTGCATTCTGAAATAGCTAATTAATTTTTCAAAGTACTTCAAACATTTCATAACTACTAATTAGTACTAAATATAACCATGATCTGAAGGCACAAAACAAAGTACATGTACTTTATGATACTACAGTTCAGGGCATAAAAGTCAAAATTGGCTACCTTTCTGCCACTCTTTCTAGCACTGACACATAGCTGAGTAATAACACCTTATACTTAGACACCGCACGAATGGTTTTACAAGTGCTCTTGCATCCATTATCTCATTTGTGCTTTACAATATCCCTGGAAGGCACACAAAATTGAAAAAGCCGATCACCCCCTTTCTTACAGATGAGAAAAGTAACTTCAGAAAGACTAGATAACCTATCCAAGTACAGTAACCCTTTCAGATGAAAATGATGGGAAAAAGCAAACAAACAAAAAGAAAGAAAGTGACATATACAGAGGTCTGCCTAGGGAAAAAATCCATAGATAAATAATACTTAGGGGCCCGGGATTTAGCTCAGTGGTTCCAGGGCCTGCCTCACAAGCACAAGGTCCTGAGTTCTATCCCCAGTACCGGAAAAAACAAACAGAAAGACCAAACAAACAAAAAAAACACAATACTTAGAAAATGAACAGGTCACAATCTTCACAGGAAAAAATATTGGACATTTAGAGTATGTTTCGAATCATAAAAAAAAAAAATAGTATTTGCTGATTTGATCTGAAATCATGCAAAGGGTTCCCTTTGAAAAGAACCAGGAGTTAAAGACTTGTCCTTCAAGATTTTCCATGTCATGAAGCTATGTTTCTTCTAAGATGTAAAAAAAAAAAGGAGGCACTAAAAGCATCCCACCACCTGGTATGGTGACACATGCCTACAATCCCAGCACTCTGGAAGGCAGAGATAGCAGCATCACAAGTTTAATCCAAGCATGGACATCTTAGTGACACCAATTACAAAATTTAAAAAATGTTTAAAGGGATGGGATGTAGCTCGGTGTGAAGGCAAGGTTCAATCCCCAGTACCCAAAAAAATGCATTATAAAGTAATTCTGCCTACAGACCCTAACCATTTTAACAGAGAAAAACAAGGAATAGGACAGTATTAAGACAATTATGACAAATGCATGCAAAAAAATTAAGCATGTACAGTCTGCATTTAGATCTATCCTCTTTTCTTTCTTTCTTTCCTTTCTTTCTTTCTTTCTTTCTTAGGACCTTGCATTTGCAAGGCAGGCACATAGTGCCACTGAGCTAAATCCCCAGCCCTATAGCTATCATGCTGATGACGACCACACACAAAATGGTGATCCTTTGACCTTCTAGATTGTATTCTGATTTACCAAAGATACAACATGTTTTCTAATCAACGATTTTATATTTTCAATCCTGCCCCTACCAAGGATAGCATATGAAATGAGAAGACAACTCTATTTATCTGCCTCTATCCTGACCTCGTCCTTCTTTACCGTGCAGCTCCTGTTAGGGAGTCAGGATGGTCAATCAGGTATTTGAATGTATTCCTTTGAATAGGGTGGTGCCAGACATGGTCTACAGCACTTAGAAGGGTACCCTGGGAAAAAAACAAAAGCACAGAAATGTCCGGCAGAGGGCGCACTAGTCAAATGAAATATTAACTGATTTTGAATAGTTACATTAGGGGAATTTGGATACTCTACGGAATAAAGAAAGAAAGAACTTATTCAATAACGTGGACAAAACTGAAACTAGGATAATTCCATAATGAATGAATATATTAAGACTGATGAGTAGTAAAAATCATTTTGGTAAATTTACATAAAAACAGGTTAATGGAAATAAGCCTTGGAAATATTGGTGTAAAAGATCTAAGCTTTCAATCTAGAAAATTACTTTCAAAAAAATTTCAAGACCATCTGGAATGCTTAATATATGCTCACACTTAATGAAGCAGATAACAAAAAGATAATTTTCCCAAGTACTCTACATACATACACATGCACCTTAGGGGTTTTAACTTTCATAGGAGGCAGTAAATTTTCCAGACAAGGACCAGCACTGGTTGCATAGCTCAGAGAAAGCAGAACTTCCTCAGGGATGAATTCATTCTGAAGGGAAGTAGGAAGAAGTTTGGAACTATCCACCATATTTTTTTCTCCCTTATATCAGGAAGTCCTAAGAAAGTAATGAGAAAGAAAAGCTATTATTGTAGTTTTTTTCAATGGAGCATCCTAGAATGCCTCATCATCCTCATCTATCTGTTTCTAAAAGAGAGAAACACTCCTTCTAATTGACAAGAATAGTAACAAGTAATACTTAAAACACTGCATAAGAGAAATATATGGCCTGTCCTATTCATATCACATCAGACACAGGTTCAAAACCTCAGGTGCAAAGATAAACCTGACTTATACAAAATTCAAAGTTGAAAATTACACTCACTTCACTTAATTAACTGGGATAGTCTTAAGATGATGGGAATGAACATGTTTTTCCTTTGATGTAAAAATGACAAAAGGCTCTCCTCCAAATTGCTAGATTATTTAGTAATTTTTCTTATATAAATTTAAAGGTAAAAATAATTGCATTGCACTGAAGTTGGGAGGTATCTGAATTGAGTTGAAAAATAAAAGTAGGAACTGGAATATATCTCATGATAGACTGCTTAACTGGAATGCACAAAACCCAGGGTTCAACCTCCAGCCAAAAGAAAATTAAAAGTAGGTCTGGGATGGTGGGAAATTAAAAGTGGGACAATCTGAGCAAATCATTGCAACAAAAACTGTAAAAATAGTTCTACTCAGCTTAACTAGGGCAGAGGAATGAAAAAAATGGTTAGGAGGTCTAAGATTGGAAAAGGCCTTCTATGAATTCAGTCAGTAGAGTTGAGGTGCCACCATTTTTAATGCCTCCCACATAGAACAACTGACATTAATTTTATAAGGAAACTTTGATTTAAAAAAACCCTTGAAAGTTTATATTATCAAATCGAGAGAGGGAGAGAGACTACCTTTTCCACTTTAAAGATTCGGGTGACTAGGTTGGGCTCACTCTGACAAATCAGGATTTCCTTTATCTCAGGGTCCTGAACCTTTATCACACTGCAAAATCCTTTTTGCTACATAAGGTATGCAGTCACAAGTTAAGGAATTAACAGTGAGAGAGAAAGAGAAAGGGGGCGGGAAGTGCTGGGTGGGACCTTACCACATCTCCCCTAAAAACTAGGGAAGGTGAGGTTAGACAAAGCTTTGTCCTAACAAGGGGAGGGGTGACTCTAGCTGATTCTTATTCTGGTACAGATCTGCAATTATATCTATATATCTATATCTGTCTATATCAATATATTCTATATATTGAAGTACTGAAGATTTTAACTCAAGACCTTCCTGAGCCACATCCCCATAGGCCTTTTAATTTTTTTTTTTTTTTTTGAGACAGGGTCTTGCTAAATTGCTGAATTTGGACTCCAATGTGCCATCCTCCTGCCCCAGCTTCCCAGAGTGCTGGGATTAAATACTCCCATTTAGAAAAACTACTAAAACCCGATACAGTCATTTTGTACTAACTTGCATGTGTTATACTATCTCCACTATTTTTTGGTTTTTGCTTTTGAAACAGGGAGGCTGTGTCAGAGGATCACTGGGATCAAGCCTGGCCAACACAGAGAGACTTCTTCTTAGAAAGAAAAAAAAAAGGATAAGGAAAAAAAAAAAAAGTATATATATATATGTATGTATATATAAAACATCTGAATCTGATTTTTAAAACGGGTGCCTGGATTGTGATTTGTCAGTGGCTGTTATTTGGCAGGTGTGGGGGCAGCATGGTACTGGGGATCAAATCCAGGGCCTTTGCACTGAGCTGCATTGCCAACCCTCTTTTGTTTTGTTTTATTTTGATTGGTTTGTTTTTTGAGATAGTGTTTGATAAGTCGCTAAACTGCCTAAAATGGGCAGGAATTTAGGTTCCTCCTACCTCAGCCTCCTAGAGTGCTGGGATTACAGGCCTGTGCCACCACACCCAGCAATGACTGTAATCATTTGTCTTTGGGATCCTTGAACTTTACCTCTTGTCTCCTTAACGGCAGATACTTTTGACTTCCTAGGGTCAGAAGATGCTGGGGAGATTAACGGTGAGGTTGGCGTTTTCGGGAGAGACATAATAATGCTTCCTATCACTCTTTTTAGTAATGTGACGTATTCCTCCAGAAAGATAACTCAGAAATAAATCAGTCTGCTACTGGCACTTCTGGGACTTTCAGGTTACTACACTGTCCTGTAGGGAAAACAAAACAAGCAAAAGACTCATTAAAGTGCTTATGTTTGGACTGGGGTTTCAGAATCCCTCTTCCGTGGTTTACCCTCTTTTGGAGTCCTCCGTGATCTCTCGGCCCATCTGTCCTGACTCAGAAGCTTGCAGGGGCGTCAGGGTCCCAGCACAGGCCGGGAAGGACACACCCGCACACCCTACCCGATGACCCTACGCACTGGCAGCCAGCAGCTCGGTGGCGCGCTCTAGGCAGTCAGTTAGGGACTCCAACCTCTCCCACAAGCAGTGCCCTCGCGGACTCAGGGGTCTGGCAGCCTGGGTTTTCATCGTTTCTTCATTTAAACCGAAGGGAAACGGACACTTGAAAGCTGTACCAGCAAAATGTGTTTCCCGCCGGGCGCGGGCAGCCTCGCCTTTTCTTGGAATGCCTTGCGTCGTCATAGAAACCTAGGACCCCGGGCCCTAGCAGCTCTCAATAGGGGCTGCCTTCAGCGGTGCCTGCAGAAGAAAGGTACAGGTGGAAAACAATCCCTACTCTCTAGGATTTTCGGTGTGTGCTAAGTCACAGCATAGTTTCAATAGAAATAGAGAAGAAAATGGTTAATTGGGCCATTGTCTCGGAATCCCAGGGTCTAGATACCAAGGCGGCGGACAGGCAGGCGCGAGCAAGGTCATTTCCGGTGCCTGAAAAACACTTACGATTGTTGTATTTCAACAAAGAAGCAAACCATAAAAAATGGTTTGAAATGTGCAAGAAAGAAATTCGTACATAATACATTAAAAACTGTGCTTTCACAGAACAGGAAAACTCTTCATGGTTTCTCTCCACACATAACCACAAGAGGGCGAATGTGCACAATAGTGATGACACAGAGGGCTCTGCATGTGTCTAAGAATGTCCAGGGCTGCAGACTGGTCCTAGGCATTATAATTGCTGCTTCCTCCTTCATTGTCATAGCTTACTCTTTTAACCCGGGAATAATTTCATACCTTTCCCACTGCCCATTTATCCAGTAGACTCCGGTCCTTAGGGCAATGAACAATCATGCAAGCCTCAGAATGACGTAACGGTCAATGACGGAATTGTCTGAAACCCAGTTCTGCCCTCACATTCAGCGACATCCATGTCCTCTGCAGGTCTGAGGAAATGACTCACGAGGTACTTACACTTGAACAGGACCTTTCTAATGAAGGAAAGGGACCGTGGACCTCGTCCCTGGAGTGTGAACTACAGGTGTCAGGAGGACAGGGATCAAAGTGGTCCTCATCCAGGTGGAAAAAGTACAAACCTGTGTTCCCCACAGTCTATCAGACTCACAGTTGCCCACAGCCACCGTGTCCTCTTGGCTTCAGAAATCAGACTGAAACGATCTAACTCTCCAGCTCCTTAGGAACTGTGGGCACATTCTGCCAATGACTAAAAATGACAGGCAACAAGAGTGGACTGAACCCAAAGCCTGTACAGTGAACTTCTTTCCCAATCTTTCCTTTTTTGTAATTTTGAGACAAGGTGACTATAAGTTTCCCAACCTGGGCTCAAACTTGTGATCTTCCTGAGTCAACCTTCTGAGCCACTGGGATTACAGGTCTGTGCCACCTCACCCAGCTGATTGGTACTTTGTAAACTTCAGTCATGTGTCATTTCACAAATGTGTAGGTTTTTAGAAATCCAACATGAAGCAGTTTTGTTATTTTCCAAACATCATAGAGTGGATTTACACAAACTAAGATGGCTAAGACATCACCAGGTGTTATGATCTGTGAGACCATCATGGTACACCTGGTCTGCCACTGATGGAAACATTGTTATGCAGTACATGC